ACGTACTAGACTTAATCTTCTGCCACAATATAAGCCCCCTTTCAACGCTAGTAGGTTCTGAGTTCCCAGGGAGCGACCACAAAACAGTGATGTGTGCACTGCCAATTCCGCTGAGTAGCAATGCATCTCATACCTCCACTTCACAACAAGTAATATATAGGAACTATAGTAAGGCAAACTGGGCCTTAGTTGAATCGATGCTAAGATCCTCCAAATGGGATGAATACTTCACTACTGATGACCTATCGAGAGCCCTAACCATCTTCTACCATAACTCAAACACATGCTTAGATGCTGTCATTCCACTCCAAACACTAAAGGTTTCCCCACACAGAAAGTCATTCATAAAACCAAAGGATCGTAAGAAACTGAAGAAACTCTCAACAAGTTACTTCAAACACCACGACTTTGGCACTCTAGGTCTAATACTTAACACCCTTAGCTCCATCTCACAAGCTCGAGATTTCCGTATGAGAAAGGAAGAACGCATCGCAGTAGCCAGTCCTGCTAGAGTGTATGCACTCACAGAAATCTTAAGGAAGCGAATGAATCGCAAAAATCACAGCATTTCTCTCCTCATAGACAAAGGTAGGCTATGCACTAACTCTGCAGACATATGTGAACTATTCAACAAAACGTTTGCAGGTAACTACCTTAAGCCCTCAGTCCAGCTACTCGATATACACCCTATTACTAATATGGCACAAACTCCATCTCCACTCACACCAAACCAAATTAGCACTGTTCAATTCACTTACGCTAATATTAACCAAACTATAAGAACCCTCAAAAGTTCAAAAGGTTTCGGTACCGACGGTATATCATCTTACTTCTATAAATATGGTGGCCCTGACATTCCTCTACTGCTGCTTAAAATATTCACAATGTCCCTAGAAACCCAAACTTACCCTGACATATGGAAGACAACATTCATTATGCCTAAACACAAATCTGGCTCGAAAACTGAAGTCAGTAACTACCGGCCGATCAATATCACACCTATAGCATCTAGAATCATGGAGAGACTAGTCAAAGATAACTAATCAAACATATGCTTAGCTGCAATATTATAAGTCCGAACCAACATGGATTCCTGAAATCCAGATCATGTTTAACATGTCACCTAGACTTCTTCAATTTTGTAACCAGCAGTCGTGACAGACGGCAACTAGTACTTGTCATCTACTTTGACATTTCTAAGGCATTTGACCGTGTTGACCATTTACTGCTAACAAATAAACTGAACTCCTTAGGAATACGTGACCCATTATTAGGATGGCTTAAATCATTCCTTAACAATAGGTCCCAAATAGTTAAACTCGGGTCTGCAACCTCCAAACCTAGCCCTATCACTTCTGGTGTAGTACAAGGTAGTGTCATTGGACCCCTCCTATTTACACTATACATCAATGACATATGCGCTTGCTTCACGCACGGGAAACCATTCATCTTTGCAGATGACCTAAAAGTAGCTTATACATTCCAACGTGATGACTTAGGGAACTTCGAGAATGTAGTGCAGAAGGAATTAGATAAAATGACTGCTTGGTCGTCCCTATGGAATCTCCAATTTAATCTGAACAAATGTGGCTGGATCTGCTTCGGTGCACCCTCAATTGACCTGAAATTAACGCTCCAATCTGCTAACCTAACAAGACTCCGAAGTGTCGTTGACCTAGGCCTGAGGTACTCTAGTGACTTGACATTCTCTGAGCAAGTAGCATCACAGACTAGAAAATCGAGGATGCTCTTAGGATGCATACTCAGGAACTTTCACGACAATGAAGCCAAGCTAATTCTGTACAAAACATGTGTCAGACCACTACTAGAATACTGTCCATTTATTATAAGCAGCACTCGCACACGTGACAAGCTAAGGATGGAAAGTATCCAACGATATTTTACCTCAAAACTACTTGGCTACGATTGTAAGAAAGACTACATCTCACGGTGCATGATCCTAAAACTTGACCCACTTTGGACAAGGCGACTTATTATAAACCTAATATTCTTCTTTAAGGTCCTTCACAAAATATCATTCTCAGGTAACAGGGACATACAATTCGCACAGGAAGGTTCTTACGATCTGCGTAACCAAACTTCCACAGTGACAACTCATTCTTTTAAGTCAACACTCCGTGAAAACTTCTTCACAGTCATGTATTCTAAAATATGGAATAGCCTACCCCTAGATGTCAGAACTTGCTCTTCGGTTACAAGCTTCAAACGCTCTCTATACAGACTGTTTCACTCTACTGATTATATTAATAAACTATTTACTCCTAGAACGAATCAATCACTAATCTACTACAGCACCTAAAAGACGCACTTCAACACCCTTAGCAATCTAAAAATATAAATAAACTAGCAGCATGGATGCATAAAGACATAGTACGGAACATACAGGATTAGTTTACCCTTAGAAATAGGACGTGTCACTCTATTGTAACCTTCAAACGCTTGCTATATAAACTGTTTTGCCCCAATGACTATCCCTACCAGAACCCATCACTTATTTCTAAAACGCATCAGTCATTAGAACACTAAAACGCTCAGACTCATTAATACACATTATGACACTAAATAAACTCTAAGACTTCGCATAAATACGTGAAAACACAACTAAAACGTAAATTTTTACTAATGTATAGTATACAGTTGAAATAAACATTTATAAGTGCATAAAATATTAATGTCCTTTTCATGTTCACATACTTTCTCTTTCTGGTATTCTGCTGCTCCTATTCATCTTCTGGTCGAGGTCGAACAACCCTGCATCTAAACTGAAATGAGGATTAATTCCAAACCGTCTATCTCATAACCACTCAAATTCCATGAACGATCCAATTCTACCATTTGAAGACGCTGGCGAACATGCTGTAAATGAGTATTCATGATCTGAAATGAAGAAGCAACTGGTTTTCAAACAGTTTTCAACATTTTACTCAACTTACGAATACAGTCCGCCATGCAGACACAAATGGAGCAAATGGAGAATTCTGGAATCGACCTCGGCACCATTTGATGCAGTAAAACAATTTAATATGACCTTATCTAGTTTTCGTATCCACGATCAAATTTCTTTCCTGTTATAAAACTACGATAAGACTTCTGAAAAATGGAATAAATATATCACTGATCTCAACATAATACATCAATAAACTGCAAGCCAAGGGTGCTGTTCACAACAAAGTTATATAAGAGAATTGACTTCAAGCTTTATTTTTCCCAGATATTTGTATTACATTCATCTGATGTCTGGGTTTTTTGTTAATGCGAAGACAATATGTCTATATTTCTTTATTTGTTGCACAAACAGATTTAATAGCAGACTGTTCCGACTGACTCTAATGTCAGAAAGAACAACCACACTGTAAATTCATCCCACCAAATTATGTGTAATTTATATGATAACTTATCCATGCCTGTACAATTGGTATGTTCCTGCATAAACAGGAAGAAATATATATTATTATTATTAATATTACTTATGACGGTTTTCTGCTGACTTCTTTCTGAACAGCGACCGATGAGACGATGACTGTCGTATTGATGCCTCCGCGAAAATTGGGGAAGTTGGTTTTGAGCAAACAACCATGAATTGATCGTTCAATCTCCTCGATTGACTTCCAGGTATCTGTTGACAGCCGTTCCCTGTCTTCCTTCTTCCTAGAACAGTTGTACACATTCCCTTTAATATCGTTTTCGGAGAGTTTCGGTGTTCTTCCACACAGGTTTCCTCGGTGTCGCCATGTAGTTTATTGGTTCTTACTGCCGAAGTGTCCGAAGCTATGCCGAACCAGCTCTGCAGTACTCTCAGGTTTGCTAATGTTTCTCTAACCAATGTCATTCCATGATGAAATCCTGTAACCAATGAACTAAATCCCCACAAACCAATTCCTTGAAACCTCTATCCGTTGGAGTCAATAAATCTCTGACGGAATATGGTGTTAGCTGCATGTCCTTGAATTTCTCCTTTAAATCCCACACCGCTCTCTTCACATTGATGTCAACCGTCACACGAGAACTGCAAGTCCACTGACAATTGTTGGGATATCCGAATAGGAAGTCTCCCTTACTGAGAGAGCTAAACTTGTGAAAGTGATGTATTTCCCGGCGAAACATCATTAGTTACTTTGAGAACTAATATAGTGAGAATAGCTGAGCTAATAAATGGATGTAAGTGTTAGTAAAGACTAACTATCGCTGTTAGTCGTAAAGCCACTGGCTGATTCGTTAGACCAGATATTGGTTTATCACTCATGGCTTATAATTCAGTTGATGTGGGAAGAATATTCATATCTTGTATTGTTGATAATAAGAGCCCTCTCAGCTGTCACAATTAAATCCTACTTGCGTGTTTACTCACTGTGAGGAGTACTTCCAAGTGATAATTTGGCCTCATTACCATATCTAGAGGCACATCGTGATCAAGTTAGGCAGCTAATAAAACACCACCAGTATTTCGTTATAACAGTATCTTAACGAGCCAAGTGGAAGTCTAGTTGACAAGCTGGTTCTGCAGTTTCAAACTGTAGCTGAATCACTAGGCCGAGATTTCTCAATCGAACACGATTTGCTCATTGAACTCAGTGAAATTGGTGGATTTAGAATTACATACTCGACAAACCAGTCACATTAAATTACGCACCTGTAAAATTGCTTCCTCGATTATAGATGCTAAACAAGGAAGATTTTCGATGGTATACGATATATCCGTGGAAGTAATAATTCAAAATTCTTAACCTCAGTGCTCGTAATAATAAACCGCAGGTGCGTATTTTCTTTGTTATAAGCATCCTAGCAGATACTTACCAAGCGTTGTGTATTCCTAACTTATTATGTCTCGTATATTAGCAAAAAATATAAATAAACCAGAGCTGTTTTCATACTGTGTTTTCCACAGGGTAAGTAAAGTGCTATAATTTTTCGTATGCAACTAAATGGTAAATACGACTCCTGAGATTCACTTTTGAATATAATTTTTGTTAAATTCACATGTTCATCTACTTGTTTGGGTGAACTAACAGTTATTTAAGTGGAGGGTATGTCAAATGAAAGTTTAGGCGCCATTGTAGGCCGATATGTACCTTTTATTTGGGGTCTTTGTTGTTATCGTACACATCTTATCTTGCTCAGAATGTTATGTACAACGAGGTTTAGAAGATCCTTATGCTGAAACACCAAAATGTGAGCCTATTCGTATTAAGGCATGCCAGGATTTACCATATAACATAACGATCTTCCCAAATGATATGGGACATGCTACACAAGATGATGCCGCACAGGAAATAAGTCAGTACACATCGCTGATACGGATAAAATGCAGTCCTTCGCTGAAGCTGTTCCTATGTTCATTATTTTTCCCTGTTTGCACAGGGATGAAAAGGCCTTTACCACCCTGTCGTTCACTTTGTGAACAAAATCGAAAGGATTGTGAACCGTTAATGCGAGGCTTTCAGTTTGAAGTAATTGTGCTTTATATCATTTTCAATTGCGTTTAGTGGCCAGAAATCATGAATTGTGATCGTTTCCCAGAAGATTCCTTGTGTATAGCGGAAAATAAAACAGAGAAGCGTGTTTCCAAGGAGCCTTCGTTCGTTTGTCCTGTTCATATGAGAGTAGGTTGCATCTCATTCGTTGAAAAAGTTTATTGACTAGGTACCGCCGAGCTTCGAGTTCCGTATCAGGATGGGAAGTGGCCAAGTCATTTCTGATTGTGGAATACCATGCGACGACTTTCTTTTTGGTGACTCCTCTTCGAGAAGATTTTCACGTCTATGGATTGGTCTTTGGAGTTGCCTCTGTGCAGCGTCCACTTTGTTTACTGTCCTCACTTTTCTCATCGATATGCCTCGCTTTCAGTATCCAGAGAGACCAATTATATTCCTGTCAGCTTGTTACCTTATGGTAGCGCTTACATATGTCGCTGGATTTATTCTGAATAATGAAGTAAGTTAGTTGAAATCTATGGTTTTATTATTAATGTTGTTTTTCATGTAATTTTTTGTACTATGTTCGTAATGAATCTTTATCTCCTCTTAGTCCCGTACTCTAAGTTAAACGCTTGATACACAAATTACATGTCTCTTAGTTAATTCCTGATGATAACTTGTATAAATACTATATACATATATGACTACTGTAGCTCAAAAAAGCAATTACCTGATGCAATGAACCCCTGTTATATTTTTGGTGCTGACTTGTCACTCTTGTCCTGTTACTGTTCTTTTTCTGTCACAATGTATTCTGATTATGATGACCAGAAACCCGTAGCGGCTACGTAGTTGTTACCTAAATTTATTTCAAAGCTGGATTTAAAAAACGTGGCCTTTAGTAGAATCAATGCAGATATAACGGTAATTTGAACCACAAACAAATGAAATTTCTGTTTGATAATGATTAGATAATTGATGGTGTAGGCCGCTACCTTAAACACAAACGAGCTAGTGGTATCAGAAGGAAGTCTGTCTTCACCTCAGTCTTAGTAACGAGGTGTTATTTTACATGCTTTTAGTGCATCTCAGTGTAGTGTAGAAAACTAAAGTACTGAATGAGGGTTATATTCGTCATCTATCGTAGTTGAACTATGACTTTGGTGTGTGGGCCGTTGTTACCTCTTGGCTGACCACACCGTGGAAGTTGATTCTTCGGACACCTGCAATAGAAAGGGGGTTAGTGTTGCGTGTCCACAGAGCCCGGGCTATAACTGCCTGAGACCGATCACATGGCCTGGTTTCTTGGATTGGTTCCCTTTTAGTAAATTTACCGCCAGTTACGCATCACCGTAGGGTTAGTCGGGATGCACAGTTTTTGGGGTCTACCTTTTCTAACACTCTCCAGAGTGGACAGACAGCATAGCTGGCTGGCATGCTGGTCATCTGAGGGAAAAACCTTACTTCTGTTGCATCCCTGTTCCCCAGCAGTACGACGTCGCTCGCAGACCCCCAAGCATAGTGTAAAATAAATTCTTACACTAAGCCGTTAACTGTGATTTGCGCGTTGTTTTCATGTTCCCTGTGGTTTGTGTTATCCAACCCATCGTATTGACTTCTTCCGGGAATTCTGAATCTGAGGTATGCAAGAAGTATGAGCTTTCAATGACATTTTGTAACGGTTCAATGTATTTGTCTACTATGGGTTGCGTGTCTCTTTATTATGCGACTAAATAATTTCAGTTGAGTGAAGCTCGGTGAGTTTCTCTCATAATAAGATGAACTAAGCACCTGTACAGTTTCTCTTGGAGGTTTATCGGCCACAACTATTGTATATTTGGTGACGGTGTTTATCTCTTCAAACTTTTCATGCAAATAAAGGTTCTTTTTTGAAGTTTACAAATTAAAGGGAATAAACTAGTCTTAGCATTTAAAGAGCATCGTTAGTCTTCATCACTGGTGTGGTTTTTTCGATTTTATTTTTGTTTTTACCCTTGTTTATGTATGTATGTGTATGCTAGAAAAATTGGATAATCGTAGTAGAATCATTCACCTTCATAATTTTATGAAATTGTCTTGTTCGTAATTTGTCGTCAGAATTTTGTTCATCCAGTCTACTGACCCCTTTAAGATAACAATCAGTGTGGGTCACTTAAGAAGATGTAGGCAGCCGGACTTGTTGGGGTCTTCGGAATTCTAAAAACCAATGGCTGGAGACAATTGGTGGTGATATGGCTTTAAATCGTTCTCAGTGGCTGAGAAAAACTCACTTTTTGTGATTCCCCATGTGCATTAAAACTATTGTTTTTCTATGTTCTGTCTGTCTGGATTCAACATAGAACTTGGCACCGAAGTGCAGCAGTTCGAGTTGCCACGTTCCAAATAGCACACAGAGGTAGACAAGAAGATGAGTGAAGAGAATTAATAGAGTTTGACAGATATAAGAGTGAAACAGAATGGGTAATGGTAGAAAGGAATATGAAAGATTACAGAGATTGAATACATCTGCGCCATTGACAACGATTTTGAGCCATGTCACCTATTGTCTCCAGCCATTGATTCCTAGAGTCCCGAGGGCCCCAACCCGGGAGTCTGCATCTCCCTACCTGACTCAGTTTAACTGTCAAGGATTTCATGGATTGATGCCATGTTTTTGTTTGGCCACCACTGGCTCTTTTCCAACCTGAACCTATATCAGCTAACAATGCCCGTCGGGGGAGGCGGTGGTTAGGCATGCGCACCACGTGACCTAGCCATCTTAGTCTATGTAACTTTATAACCTCGTCGATTGATTTTCCCTCTTTGCCCAACACTCTACGCCTAACGTCAACATTACTTATCTTGTGAAACCACCTAACGTGAGACAGAGATCGCAGACATCTATGATCGAAAGCAGTCAACCTTTTCATGTCTTCAACGCGTATTGGCCATGTTTCAGAGCCATAGAGAAGGACGGAGCGAACTGATGAGCAGTACACACGTCCCTTGGTTGATAACCGGATGTCACGCCTACGCCAGAGATGGTGTAAGTCAGCGAAAGCAGCTCGAGCTTTTCGGATCCGTGCTGAGATTTCATCGCCAATCAGTCCGTTGGTGCTAATACAACTTCCCAAGTAGGTGAAGTGGTCAACATGTTCTATCACTTCACTCCCTATCACTAAGTTAGGGTTGACGTGTCCAGTCCTGTAGCAGCATCTTACATTTTGCAGGGGCGAATCGCATGCCAAACATACGAAGATTGCTGCTCAAGGTGTTCAGAAGACTCTGCATTTTGTCAGCATCCTCCCCTAACAGGACTATGTCATCTGCATATTCTAAGTCCATAAGATTATTCCCTGGTAACAAGTCGATTCCTAAGTCACTACGTTCAGTTAAGGATACTTCCATTAGCATATCTATGATGAAGTTAAACAGAAATGGGGAAAGTGGACATCCCTGTCGGACACCACTGGTTGTTACCAATTCAGATGACAATTCCCCATAAGCCCTTACACGACTACGTGAGTTTGAATAGAGTGCCTTGATTAGTGCAATGTACTTTCTTGGCACTCCCTTCACAGTCAGACATTGCCATAGTACCTTTCGGTCCACGGAGTCGAAGGCCGCCTTCAAGTCAAGAAATATGACAATTGTTGGACGCCGAAAAGTGTGTCTATGTTCTAGAATCTGTCGAAGAGTGAAGATATGATCTATGCACCCTCTACCTGGTCTAAAGCCTGCTTGATTTTCCCTTGTCTGTTCCTCCCGAGTTCTGCTTAGTCTATGCATGATTACTGAGCCTAGGATTTTAGAGACTATGTTCGTTAGGCTGATCCCCCTATGATTATCACACGAGGACTTGTTTCCCTTCTTGAATATCGGTATAATGAGTGACTTACCCCAGTCTGATGGAACTGTCTCTGATTCCCAGACTTTGCCTAGTACCTCAGTTAATCTACAAACTAGTATGTCACCCCCATATTTAAACACCTCCGGAATAATTCCGTCGGGTCCTGCCGCTTTGCCTCGTTTCAAATTACTGATAGCTTTTGTAACCTCACCTACAGACGGCGGACCAGTGTCTATATCCCATTCGGGTACGTGGTGGATGGCGGGGAGGTTCAGTGTGGCTGTAGGCAAGTTAAATTGTTCCTCAAAGTGTTCTTTCCAGCGTTCAAGGCGTCTATCCTGAGAGCTAATTAAGGAGCCATTTTTCTCAGAAATAGTCTCACTTATGAATTGCCTTCTCCCGCCCGATTCTGTGATGAGTCTAAAGAGTTGCCTAGTGTTGCCTATCGCCAATGCTTTTTCCATCTCTTTCGCCTTTGTCACCCACCACTGTTCACGGTCCTTGCGGAGACTTTTAGTAAGTTTCCTTTTGTGCAGCTTTCGCTCCTCATTGAATTCGGAGCTCGCCGGAATAAGTCTTCTAGCATCTATCAGTTCGGATGAGGCAGTCGAAATCCAGTGGTTTTTACTCACCTTTGGATTTGTCTTATTCACAGCTTTTACAGCTGTATCTATAGCTGACTGAATATTCTTCCAGGCTTCTCCAGGGTGAGCACAGCTGTCGATTCAGATATGCGTTTAGCTAGTTCTTCCTCAAATAGGGATTTAGTTTCCTGATCGAGCTGGGGGCGTGATGGTTTTACCGCCAGCTGTTTCCTACGTCCGTTCAGTCGTAAGCACACACGAGCCCGGACCAGTGCGTGATCGGTATCTACACACGTGTTCCAGAAGGAGCGACAATCTCCTACCGACCCACGCCAACGATAGCTTATTGCTATGTGGTCTATTTGTGTCCAGCGTTGGTTTGATGATGGGGGTCGCCAGGTTAAACAGTGTCTCTCCTTGTGTTTAAAGTTAGTGCTTACAAGAAACAAATGATTATCTGAACAGAACTGTAGGAGACGGTCACCGTTGTCGGTTCGCTGGCACGGAACTCCATAGGTGCCACCGACATCCTTCTCAGATTGACACAATTTCCCTACTTGAGCGTTGAAGTCACCAGCTAGAACGACTATATCTGAGCGTTTAGCCTTTCTCACCAAACTAGACAGCTTTTGGTAGAACTCATCCTTCGTTTCATCCGAACTGCAGTCAGTGGGGGCGTAGGCGGAGATTACGAAAAGGCATCGGCGAGTAGTGCAGTCCTTTCTCCTTCTTACTGATCCGTTCAGACGGACAGCACACATTCGGCTATCTACCGGGATCCAGTCAAGCAATGTCTTTTCTGCCCTAGTACTCAGAGCTATCCCTACGCCAGCTAATCCCCGTGAACTAGCTGTGGCATCTCCTGACACCCTCAAGGTGAATTTTGAAGATTCATCCTGTTGGCCAGGTGGGGTTAGGTGAATAACCACACTTGGGTCTTGTATGCGTGTTTCTGAAACACAACATACATCAATGGCTCGAGATGCCAGGGTCTTAGCTAGTGATGCTTGTTGTCCTATTTGGCAAAGTGTCCTTACATTAAATGCTCCTATATGAAATTGGTGGCGTGGCTTTAGGAGACTATCCGTGGTGGTTTTTTGGCTT